GCCGCTTCTCTATAACACCGGATGGGCAATTTGGACGCAGCGTGTCCTGGCCACAGACATGGCTTCGACTGGCGTCTTCGGGGTGATCACCGGAGACCTCGCGGTGTTTGTCCCATGGCCTGTTGCATCAACCGAGCAGAGCAACGTTGTCCAACGTCGCAAATGTCAAACAATTAGCCAAGGTCTCTGATGAGTTTGCCCCATTGTGGGCATGTTTCGCTTGTTCTCAATTTGTTTGACACCGTGTCAGGGTATACCCCAACATTCACAGAGATCCACACATTTGGGGAAACTCAAAATCGAGAGAGTGATCTCTGTGAAACGGATCTTGGCCATGGGCGAAAGCCAGCTGTTACATCCGTGAATCACTGGGAGCCGAGTAGGCCAAAGTGCCACGCACAACACTGGCTCTCCTCGAATGCCAAGGAGCTTCGTCTCATTTTTTTTTTGTTTATGTTCCTCTCTGCAACTTTCCGGAGGGGGTCAACCTGCACCAACCATGAAATGCAAAGGAACCCCTTCCAAAAACCATGTCTTCCAAAGTCTGTGCACCAAATTGGCACCAAATCATCTTTGTTGGTCTGGCTGCGCAAATAAAGGTCTGGAGACAAAAACCAATTACTCATCCCCTTTTGGCTTTCCTTGCTGAACAACTCACTTCCTGAGTCGATTGGCCAAACAAAATACATGGATTCTGTTTACCACCAACGGTCTTCCCAAAAGGCTTAAAGTCCAGGAACTCAGGGAGTAAGTTATGGGCGTTTCAGCACCCAGAAACTCGAAAACTTTCCCGCCAGGGCGCAAAGGAGCCAAGCTCGCCATCCCCACGTCTCTCAGCGACAGCCGTGGCATGGAAGCCTGAGTCTGAGGTCCTCCCCAGATCACATGGAAGCCTCCAAAAACATGATTTGGCCATGGGTCAAAATCCCGTACCCCCAGTGAACATCCCAATCCCCACAAAAATAGGTACTAAAATGGGTGGTGAATTCACCTACCCCAAAATGGGATCCCAAAACGGTGTTGACAACCACGTCCATTCTACTGTTATGCTGGGCCCACTTCGGGGGCAACCCGGAATCTGCAAGGCCCCAAGAACCTGGAAACAGGTCGACCACTTCTGAACAGGAAACGCACTCGAACCCGGGGACACCAAGGTCAAAAGCTCTGATTTCTCCCAGAAGCTAAGATAAGGGGCCTAATAATTACACACATGAACGTTTTACGGAGAAAGGGGCAGCTGATGTTGGGGTAAAATTGGGAATCTTGTTGCGGAGGCCTGTGGGGCTCTCTCTCCAACATGTTGCTGTGCCCAAGTGCCCTGCCTTTCGTCGCCCCCCGGCCGCGCCTTGCGCATGCTCAGAGCGATGGCGCCCTGGCGGGGCGCGGCATTGGCAGCCTCGGGGCTTGAAGGACGGCGCCGGAGCGCAGGATTCGGAACCACTTCGTCTTCATGTGGACGTGGTTGTCAACACCGTTTTGGGATCCCATTTTGGGGTAGGTGAATTCACCACCCATTTTAGAACCTATGTTAGTGGGGATTGGGATGTTCACTAGGGGCGGGATTTTGACCCATGGCCATATTGATGGCTGTAACGACCCCGCTGCAACCGGTTGTTTTCACATTTTGCGGGTCCAATTCGGCAAATCCAACTTGTGTCAACCAAAAAGTTTCAAAGTCCAAAGATCCGTTGCTGAAGAGACATAAAGAAAAAATCTTTGGCAACCAGGCAAGAGCTGAAAAAGATCTAAACTTTTCACTTCCCTTGACCTTAGTCGCTTGCATGTGTTTCCGCTGGGAGGTGGTATTAATTTCAAGGAACTTCCGCTGTACGGCTCGGACTATGCTTTGGAGCGGGTTCAGAAACGGGCCCATGTTGGCACAGCCGTACTGCTTTGCCACCATGCAATGGTGAACCCTCCGTGGACTGTCGTGGACAAACTCGGGCGGTCTTTGCGCTTCAGTTCGTTCTCGTAACCCTCTGTGGACGACAGTGGGCTCGACCTTCAAATCAGTTTTTGCGTCTTTCATGGGGTAAAGAGAGAAAGAGAGAGAGAGAGAGAGAGAGAGAGAGAAAAAAAGAGAGAGACAGACAGAGAGAGAGAGAGAGGGAGAGGGAGAGAGATAGAGAAGAGCGGGTAAGCGAACGAGCGAGGGAGTGAGCGGAGGGAGGGACATTCACTGTCTTTGTCTTTTGATCATTATCTTTCTATTTACTTTTCACGTTGTTGTCTCTTCTCTTTCACTTTCTCTGTGTGTCTCGCTCTTTCTATTGCTATTTGTCTTTCTCTGTTATTTCTTGTTTTCTTGTTCTCTCTAAGGAAAAAAGGAAGGCTCCGAACTAAATATGTTTGAAACGTGTGCCCCTGGCTTTGCTCGCTTTACTGGTAGACCCCATCTTCGCGTTGGGGTAGTGGCTTGGTAGTTGAACCCGTAAACACTTTGCGAGGGACGAATTTGCGTTTGGTTCCCCTGGGGACATGTTGCCGCTTTCCCTGCGGGCAAAAGCTGATCTCGGTGATTCCTTTGACTTTCGGCAACCAAAGCCCATGCCTCCGTTTTTCGAACCGCATTGCAAACTGCTTTGAGCCAAGGCGCATGGTAGCTGTTGTCCCCCTCGGTGCGGCGGCGGCTCATCCTGGAAGGGCCAACTACCTGCTTAAACATGTTTAAACAGCGGTTGTTCAAACATTCATCGCCCCCAGTTGTAGGGGAGTTCAACCCATTCTCACTTTTGGGGTGGTAAGTCCGTCAGTCAAGGCCTCCCCCAATTCTTTGGTCGGCAATTTTGGTTCTTTAAACCAACAGTCCGTCAATCAAATCCAAAGCCTTCCCTCGAAAGGTTCATGGCCGGCCTGGGCTGGCGGCTGATAACCTTGGACATGGCGTGAGCGGACAGGGGAAGATGTCAGACCCAACCGTTGGACGAGTAAACAAATGCTGCGTCGGCGCGGCGACTTGCATGCGCGTGTCTCAGACTCCAAAGTGTGTGACTTTCCTCTTGGGTTCCCTTTAGGTGAAAGACTACCCTGAAAAGTCACATACCCACACGAAACGTGGCCCTTCAGTGTGGGTCAGGAATGAACTCCACGAAAATAAACAAGAGAGGCCTGGTTTCAAACAGGCAAACAGGCAGGCACGCAAGCAAGGGGATACTTGGAGGCCTGCAAAGGATTCTCATCACATGTTTTAGAGCGGTCAAGATCAACAAATGCCTTCAGACTTTGATGTGCTTCCCCAACCCATCAGCAGGTAACCAGGAAAAAGCCTTGGTCACAATTCAATTTCCCCGTAACTTGCACCCGCCCATCAGCAACCAAACAAAACGCATAAGCAAATGCAAGTGAGAGCTAGGCACCCTTGCGTTGTGGGGACTCCCTATTTAGAGACACCAGCTTGGGCCAATGTGGGCCATGTCAATGGCCTTGCAGCCGAAAAGCAAACAGGCAACACGTCCAACGCCCAAAACTGATTGCCACACCCGGTCGTGTTAAACTTCAGATGTCGAAGTGGGCCCGGTGAACGCCAGCTGTGGGCCCAAGCAAGAAGCAGCACTGCCATCGCCACGTAGACGCTGGACCAGCTCTCCCCTGGCGGCTGAGTGATTGGTTCATTGATTTATTGATGGACGGATGGATAGGAAGGATGGATGGATTAACTGACTGAGTTCAGTTGATCCACTGCTCGATTCACGGCTTGATTCACGGTCCCAAACCACCCCAAAGCTTGTTTGGGCAAAGACCCCATAGCTTTCAGCTGTTGGGGAACAAGCATGGCGCTCCCCAGTGCTCACCCTCGCATCCAAATGTCCCTTTCACAGGGAAAAGGTCTTTCAGCGACCCCTATCCCCCCACCCCTGCTAGATGAATGGAACGGCAAGCAGGATTCCTCCCTACAAAAAGCTGGGGGTTGTGGAGTCAAGAGTCCCAAGCAGCAGAACCCCCCCCCGCCTGTGCTCTTCAGCTCCTTTGGCGGGTCCTTAGCCTGGTCCGCGTGCTCAGTGTATCGTACGTTTGACCCCCCCCAAATGAACATAGGGGTGTGCTTCCTTCAAAGGAGGTCCCTCAAAACATATGTCCGTTTGGCTCCATGTCAATCTGCAGCGGAGGTACTCAAACACTTAGCACTGCGAACATGCGACACCCAAAGGAAGTCATCATAGCCAGTTTCACTGTACAAGATCGATTCTCCCGGCCAAAGCTACCACTTCATTTGCCTCGCATGAAAAGCTCAAGCTGAACTGTGGGTCCCCCCGACCACTAAGTCGATGATGCATTGTTTTCTGACCAACACAGCTAGGAAGACTGTTAGTGGAGACTGTTAGTGGTCGGGGGTGCGACGCGAAACATGCTATACCTGAAAATTGTGAGCATCTACGCCGGGCTAGGCTCGGCTGTGAAAACATGCCGATCATTTGAGCAGTGCCAAAGCTTTTTGACTTTGAGATCTACCAAAATGGCCTTGCATGGCCTTACTATAGTCCAGACTAAGCCTTAAGCGAAATCGTAGAACCTACAAGGATGACATTGTTTTGGTCACTGCTCGTGTGTGTAGAAGGTAGACGCCTTCCATCCATCGGCAAGACAATGCACAAATGCATTTATCAAAATCGATGTCGAGGGTCCACGTCCAGTGCGCCAAATCCTCGGCTCATTTCACCTTCACCCCGGTGGTGTCCGCAAAGCGCTTGAAGACCTCCATCATCCGGGGGGGCCAGCGCCGGAACTCCTATGGCTTGCGGGCTTCGGGTGCCGCGGGTGTGGGGGCTTGGTGCGGGGGGGTGTACCAACGGAAAGGGGCAAGGTGAAAGCGCCCAAACTCCGCTCAGCAACATGCAGGTTTGCCTCTAAATGGAAGCCCCCAAAGCAATGGTTTCCATTCGACCTCCCTAAAAAAAAACACTCAAGCTGGGTCCCCTCCATAAGAATAACATCCATGCCTGAAAGTGCAAACATCCTGAGAAACAAGTCTCCTCTTGTTCGTCTGTGCGATTCCATGTGGGGCGGGTCATTCAGAGGCAAGGCCCCAAGTGGTGGGATGCTTGGTGTTTCCCGTGGCACCAAAAAGGGGTTCATCATTTCGGTGGTACAGCCAAAGAATTCTGGGGTTGTGGGGTACATGAAATCCAATCCATGCCATGACCATGGGACACCACGTTGGTGTTTCTCAAACTTAAGGACGCCTCCAGGTGGCTTGGTTTCCTCACTCCCCCTTGAAACAATAGCACGAGGGAGTCCATCAAGTCAGAGAACAAAAAGGGATGTTGTGAGCTGGGTTTTTGGCACAGACCTGCTTTGTTCGTGGGGTCTACGGCGAAACCGACCAGAAAAAAAAGAAGGCGAGAAATGGAAGGGCATTCACCGGCCATATCTTACCTGTCAAGTGGCGGGGAGGAGAGCCATTCCTTCGTCCCTTGCACCGCGAGTAAACCCTAAGACTCAGGGACTCAGGGACTCACGAATGAAGGGAATCTCCAATTGGCAAGTCCCGCTCCTGCACCCATTGGGCAGACTTGTAGCGTGGGTCAGTGCCCGTGGCGCGGTCCCACTGCGACTCAGCCTCGATGCGGTCTCCTGCAAACTTCTAGTTGCCTACAACCAGCGACCGGTATATATTTCTTGAAAAAACAACTAACAAAACATATATATATATATATACATACACATATATTGAATATTGTCTATGTTGCCCTTTTTTGCGAGCGTCAGGAGACACATTCAAAGCTCCAACATGTGCAGTGCCTATCAGCGACATCCCCGGCCTTGATCCCACAAGATCATGGCGTAGGCCGCCCGCGCGTCGGGGAAGGCCTCCGCATAGCGCGCCAGCAGCTGGCGCAGGTTTGTGATGGCCTGGTCGTCCTCCTTGAGCTCCTTGAGCTTCTCGGGTTGAAATTTTGAACCGTCTTGTTGCCTTTTGCGGTTAAAAAAGGCAACAAGAGATTCGTCTTGAAAAAGCTCTTTGGGATCCAAGGGTCGGTGGAACCTGTTGTGAGCAAATTGCCGACCTCAAAAAGGAAGCCTTCACGAGGGGGTCGATCAATGGTCCACAAAAGGTGGCAAAAAGACCCTCTGAATGGAAACAGCTTCTCCAAATCCCCCCCCCGTGTTCTGCAAAAAAACGAAGGGCGGACCCAAAGAAGGCCATCATTGAGAAATGTCCAATTGGGGACCGAAAGCAAAGGCTGCATGTTGGTGCTGTTGCTTCGCCAATCTCAATATGTTTCGTAGAGATGATGCAAAACATGGCCAATCTCATGGTAGTTTCGCCAACAATTCAAGCCTGAGGGAGCCTAATGTGGCCATTACAATTTCTCCCCCCGCCCCCGCCCGGGAAAGCATAACTATGTTAACTTGTTGACGATGCCGAGTCTGTACTTCTAGCACTGTGGGCTGGCCATGGTTACAGTGAAGATGTTGCGATAAGTGCGGGCCATCTAATATCGATAGAGGATGCCACTAACCAACTGCAATCTGGACAAATTATCATGATTGACAATCCGGAGAAGCCCTCTGCAAAGGACGTTCAGAATGGGTGAGCTCGTTTCACACCCGAATCGGTGAGCTCGTCATTTGCCGAAATGCAAACCACATGCAACTGACGTAGCTCCACTCTCAGCTGAGACTCGTATTGGGCCAAGGCCATGTTCACTCCCGCGAAAGCAAAACCTGAGTGTGAGGCGAAACCGATGCTTGATTGAAGGAAGGCACAAGCAAGTTAAATAGAGGCAGCGGCGTTACATGTGACATAACAGTGTTCCATAAGCAATATCCTTTCGCGCCAACGCACTCGGTCAAACATGTGCGTAGCCAGCCATGTCTTCCAAGGGGCGCTGAGTCCCAGAAATGTCCAGCGCTTGCTGGAAGGATTCCTGCATGCGCAAAGCACTGGGTGAAGCTATAATCATTACCTGCCATCGTTTGACATTCCTGGCTTGGATCATGGCAGCTTGAATCAGATGTTGCAAACCGTGTTGCTTGCTCCAAGCTCAAACATTGTTTGCAGCAACCACACTACACTGCATGTGGGCCGCTTGTTGCTGTGACCTGCTCAGAAAGACACTGCTTGCCACAAGCACATCGTACTATTCGCGCATGTCAAGGTGTCTCGCTTTTCCTCGCACTGGCAGGAACCCACCAGAAAGCTCCCTTTAAGGAAGAGCACAGGACATGTTAGAGTGCTACTCCCAACCCACCCATGGGTGTGCAAAAGCAAGTCCCGTTTCGACACGTGTCGTCTGAGAAGAAGCCTTGCTGCAAGTTCATGCTTGTGAGATCCGCTAGGCAGAGTGGACAGCATCTGGTGGTTCATACTTGGGTGCCAACCTTATAATGGCTAATGAATGCAATCTGTTTTCAATGACGATTGTTGCTCCTGATCATGATGGCCCATCTGCATCACCAGCTTCCAGGGAGTTTTGCTCATGGCTGCTGAAGTCCAACTGCAATGAACCTCATCAAGCGCTACTTGAAAAGATGAACCAAACCTCTGCCCTGACTGGAGCAACAGTTCGAGCAACTGAATAACACAAAGGCAACATCACCAAAATCATCAATCAAACAAACTTGAGATTCGGCGAGTTGATGGCTGACGTTAAGTTTGTGCTTTTCTTCTGCAGCGAATTGCCCGAGGCCTGTGTCGGAACAAGCAACGGAAGACAAGACAACAACACAATGAGAAAGCAACAAACAAACACATACGCACCCCAGTATTCCAGTCGCAGCTAGTGCTTGACTCACCCGTACACTAGGATTCCTTCCAGAGTGTCATGTTGGGTGCTTCCAAAGTATGGACTCCAAAACTCTGGTTGGCTTCCCTGTGGATTCCCTTAGACATCGTCCGTATTTCCTATTCATGGACACCCTCACATGTATCGTTGGTAACGCGCACCGCTTTGATATATAGGGATCACTCGAGTTAGCCAGTGGCTTAGCCTTCGTGGCAAATGGGGTCGGAAACCATGACGCATATGGCTGGCAAACGCCTTTTTGAAAATCCGGCGCCCACGTGCCATGAAGCATGTGGAAGGGGTTTTCGCTCAAAGACCACCCACGGGAAACACCAAGGGGAACATGGGTTGTTGTTGGTTTTTTGTATATTTCACCCTTTCGTCGTGGTTGCGTGCCGCACCGCGCGAGGATGAAACGGATCCGGCGGCCTGGAACAACCGGGGCAACGCTCTGCTAGGGCTCCGCCGCTTCCAGGAAGCCAAGGACATTGTCGGTGCCTGACTCCTGGACTGCTGTTTGGCTCAAATGTCGAAACGAAGCAGATGGGAACGGCTTCTTGTTCTCATGTGTTTGTTTGTTTTAATCTTGAGAGGTTTGTTGAAGCGTTGTTTGTGCACACCTCGGGGTAAAAATTCGCCTGGCGCAGCACCAGATCATAGTCCACCAGGGCCTCCTCCAAACGGCCCAGGGCCTCATACACGGCCCCGCGGTTCAGGTGAGGGTCCGCTGCATCCGGCACCAGCTCCTGAAGGCAAGAAAAACGCGGAGGTGTCCAGGCCTTCTTCACCGTAATCTGGTTAATCTGGGGGGATCAGCTGGTACATATATATGAGGAGCGGACGAAGCACTTTACTTGGCCCTAGTACTTTTTTGAACGTTATCGTTTTTGGGGGAGACCTTATCGTTTTACAGTGTTTTCGAACTTTGGCAGATCCGGCTCGAAAATCGCAACTTTGTAGTACAAGTCTAGTACGAGAAGTACACTTCCGCATCTCCAGCTCGAAAATCGCAACTTTGTAGTACAAGTCTAGTACGCGAAGTACACTTCCGCATCTCCAGCTCGAAAATCGCAACTTTGTAGTACAAGTCTAGTACGCGAAGTACACTTCCGCATCTCCAGCTCGAAAATCGCAACTTTGTAGTACAAGTCTAGTACGCGAAGTACACTTCCGCAGCTCCAGCTCGAAAATCGCAAATTTGTCTGCAAGTCTAGTACGCGCAAGCTAGTAGTACAAGTCTAGTACGCGAAGTACACTTCCGCAGCTCCAGCTCGAAAATCGCAACTTTGTAGTACAAGTCTAGTACGCGAAGTACACTTCCGCATCTCCAGCTCGAAAATCGCAACTTTGTAGTACAAGTCTAGTACGCGAAGTACACTTCCGCACTCCAGCTCGAAAATCGCAACTTTGTAGTACAAGTCTAGTACGCGAAGTACACTTCCGCATCTCCAGCTCGAAAATCGCAACTTTGTAGTACAAGTCTAGTACGCGAAGTACACTTCCGGAATTCCAGCTCGAAAATCGCAGTACTCTCCACACATCTCCAGCTCGAAAATCGCAACTTTGTAGTACAAGTCTAGTACGCGAAGTACACTTCCGCAGCTCCAGCTCGAAAGTCGCAACTTTGTAGTACAAGTCTAGTACGCGAAGTACACTTCCGCAGCTCCAGCTCGAAAATCGCAACTTTGTAGTACAAGTCTAGTACGCGAAGTACACTTCCGCATCTCCAGCTCGAAAATCGCAACTTTGTAGTACAAGTCTAGTACGCGAAGTACACTTCCGCAGCTCCAGCTCGAAAATCGCAACTTTGTAGTACAAGTCTAGTACGCGAAGTACACTTCCGCAGCTCCAGCTCGAAAATCGCAACTTTGTAGTACAAGTCTAGTACGCGAAGTACACTTCCGCAGCTCCAGCTCGAAAATCGCAACTTTGTAGTACAAGTCTAGTACGCAAAGTACACTTCCGCAGCTCCAGCTCGAAAATCGCAACTTTGTAGTACAAGTCTAGTACGCGAAGTACACTTCCGCAGCTCCAGCTCGAAAATCGCAACTTTGTAGTACAAGTCTAGTACACTTCCGCATCTCCAGCTAGTAAGTCTAGTACGCAAGTACACTTCCGCAGCTCCAGCTCGAAAATCGCAACTTTGTAGTACAAGTCTAGTAAGCGAAGTACACTTCCGCAGCTCCAGCTCGAAAATCGCAACTTCTCAGTACAAGTGTCGTATTTACGAAGCACACCTTGGCAGCTCCAGCTCGAAAGTGGCGACTCGCCTTCGCGTTTTACGGTGGCCACGCAAGGGTCCCACCCTAGCTAAGTTGCAACTGCAGGGGTTATTATAGAACCGTGTGTTAGCTAAGGGTTATCGTTTTTGGGGGAGACCTTATCGTTTTGCATGGTTTTTGCATGTGTTATGCAAAAACGTACCCCGCCTTGATAAAGTGGTCTTCGTGTGTTTTGTCCGTGGCTCATATATAAATATCCATATTAGATATACACACACGTAGTGCCCCAAAGGGTTTCCCGGCATCAAGCAAACCAATTCGCAAGGTGGGGGTCTTACCTAGGCGGCATGAAAGGGATATGCACAAAGGATGCTTGGGCCACCTGCTCCAAGGGCACAAGTTTCCCCTGATGTGGCTAGATGGGTGCCAAAAAATGGAAAGGCGAAGCCTCGAATTGGTGTTCAAGGCGAAAACATGGTGGTGCTTAATTAATAACGCATTGTGTTTATCAAGCACATGTGGTGTCATTTGTTGTTAAGAACCTCTAAACTACCCTGTTTGGTTGGTTTGTAAGCACCTCGTGTGCCAACTAAAACTGAATCGTTGCTTTAGGATGACAAACTGAAAAGCCATGCTGCGGGGTTCTCCGCACTTCAACCGACAGGGGAGCTCACTCAAAAGAAGAAAACGCAAGGGTGGTACAATCAACTAGATAGCCGACATTTCAGGACGTCTACCCCAGCCCGAGCCAAGAGTGATCAGCGTGCTCAATTCTTCAATTCAGCCGCCAACATTATCGCAAGGGTCCCCCCGCCCCCCGGCATTCACATGTGAACACATGACTCTTAAGCATGATCGGTGGAATTGCAAAGCACTGGTTTGACGTAACTCAGCTGGGAAAGAATTCTTCGATGGAAGTTGGTTACGTGAGTATTACGAAGACTGGCTGCACAGAGTGCTTCCTCCTCTGAATTCTTGAAGGCAAAAGCAACAGAGTCGGCCTTCCAGTAATTCAAACATATTCGAACCACTGCAGAAAGGGTCCTCCCTGCCACCCCTCAGTATAGCAAACCATTCCTTAAAACAAAACTGAGTATGATAATTTGAGACAGTTTGAGGAATGGGGGGATGAGCGTGGATGATTATTATAGTTCACCTGACACAAGGTTCTCTGGGCTATCCTCAGATCCCCCGCTAAAAGTTTAACTTTTGGTGGGTTGAATGGAAATCCCCACTAAACACTAAAAGGCCAAACGGCTAAGGAACCGGATGGCTGGGAGCCACCGAGTTGTGGTAAGAAACCATCGCCGTTTGGCAGGAATTTTTAGCGGCGCTCAGCCAAGATGCGATTGCGCGGTTGTAGTCCTGCAGCGCCTCCTGGCTCGTTCTCACCCGATAGGATGGCTTCCCCCCACAAAAAAACATAGCACAAGGGCACCCAATTGGCGCAACAATCACGTGACACCATGGCAAGTTCAACCACCTGGTGATTGAACTGTGTTTTTCAGGTTTGAGTCATGATCCAAAGTCCAGGTGGGCTGAAACAAAACCCCCAGATGAAACATTTGTACCCTTATACCGTACGAGTAGTATCGGTTGGTATCGTTTTTCTTCCCCAGCATCGGTTTACAATGTTTTGGGGGCTACGCATTGTTAAGTGCACTGCCAGTTGTTGGCGTGGCCATGTAAGACGCGTAGGGACATCTGCGCACGGACTTGTTTTCGCGCGAAAGAGGAACTCGAGGAGTCGGTGCGAAGGTAGCAAACCAAAGACACTGCGTGCTGCTGGAAACTTGGTTGGATTTGGCAGGCATGATTATCGGTGAGGCATCGACTGAGTGTCGATTTGAGAATCGGTCGGCCTGTAAGTTTCCCACTCCGGAACCCGGGTTTCGCAACGCACTTATCAAGCAATGTGCTATTCTGTGATATTCGATGCACTTGCCCAAAGGACCCAGAACTACAAGGTTACCTCTCGGGCCATAACTAAAAATGGGCCGACAAAGGAAAACCAAAAGGGTCAAGCAGTCGGCCTTGAGCAAAGCTGAGGCTCCAGCGGCTCGCTCCGATTCTTTCAGCCGTCGCCTGCAGCTTGCCCTGGCGCGCCAGGGAGTTGCCCCGGTTGCAGCGCACGCGCACCTCGATGTCCGGGAGACCGGCGAAGCGGTCGAGCATCCGGGTCCTCAGCTGACCCCCCTGGGCTGTGGGGCGGTGGAAAACCGGACCCCTGGTGGACCTCCCATGGGTTTACCAGGTGCTCTTGTGGGGGCTGTTTCAACAGGAAGCCAAGGGAAAGCCGGACCCACAGGTAAAATGATTTCCCCGAAATTGGGGAAGTCTAATTTATGACTGAAATGGCGACAAATTCCCATCATAAACTCGAGATTCCCTCTCTCCCTACTCCCCCCCGCGGGTTTCCCCCAAAATAAGGCGACATATTGCTCCCCTCGTGCGGTTTCCCCCAAATCAAAGGCCGAAGCTTCGCTGTCCAAGGCTCCAGGCGGCCTCCTCCTCCTGCACCGTGGGCGCGGTGACGGCGATGTCCCCCATGCTCTGCACTTCCTGACGGTACCCAACCGGTGGTGACCCCTTTGGGCCTGTGGGATCCTGGATCCGGGGTTCAAAGTCATCAACCAGCATTTAATTTGCTTTGGGCCTGAGCCAAACGCTTCACCGTGGGTTGCTGTGGGCGATTTGAGTGAGGCGTTGAAGGAGGATCCCCATTTCACCCGGAAAGTCGTTGAGGGTAGGGCCTGAGGAAGGGGCGAAGATGATTTCCCGCTTCACGGCAAACCGTTGGATCAAGCTACACTTTGCGCACAAGTAACGCCGTTTCAACACGACTTTGGGTCAGCAAAACCTTCTAGGTCCTCCAGTAGAGAGGTTAGAATAACTGTACCCTTTTTTCTGTAGTCTATTTTAGTAGGGGCACCCTCCCCCAAAAAAGGGGTGAGAATAGGCACTGCTGGGGGACCTAGCCATCATCGCCCCGGTCCTGCAGAATCTGCAGCTTCTGCTCCTCCGACAAAGCGCTCTCCGCGCGCGCCGCGCGCCGCAGGCCCAGGCCCAGGCCGAGGCCCGCCAGCAGCGCGCGCCGGGATCTCCCGCGTGGGGCGGCGCCGCGGGCCGGGGGCGGAGCGTGCGAAGGCCGGGGAGCGCTGGGGGCCTCGGTGCACGGCCGCAATGCCAAGCCAATGCAATTTACGACCCCCAGAAGGCACATACCCTTCCTCCCACTAACATAGCATCTGTGGGGAGGTACCTGGAAAATCATTTTTTTCTTGGAGGAACGCACTGGTGCATGCCATGATAGTGGGAGAAAGGGTGACTGATGCCTTTTTGGGGTTCATGTCAATCTGCGGACAGAATGTTGCAGAGATAAGTTGCGGAGGATCACACTGGTTGTAAGAGAACAATTGGAGTTCCCTGGCCCCACTATTGGTCCACGGCATGGTTCGACAAAATGTTAGACAATCTGAACTTGCTGGTATTTGTCTAGCTTCAATGTCTGGATATGTTTAAAAACATTATGAACAACATGTTCGAAACTCGGCTGCCCCATGCTGACACATGTCCACATTTTTTCAGGGCGGCCAAGGAAAGTCAGTGACGAGGACAGTATTCAAACCCAGTGACCGTGGTATCGAAAAAGGCATTTCCAACAATGTTGCTTCAAGGATTGCGTTTTGCCTCACCACAAAGACAAGGTCTACATTACATCATGTGGGTGTGTGTGTTTTTTTGACGTGGCCGTGCCGGGAGGTTGGTATAAGGGGTATGAATCGCAGGTATGGTTCGGGGTATGGCTCGGGGGTATGATTCGGGGTATGGCTCGCGCGCCTCTGAACTCTTGCTTTGTGGCTTTGGACACTGCAAAGCTCCCGTGCGCTGGCGACTGGATAGCCGTGAGAATTTGGACCGCTTAGTTGCTACAAGCCAGCCTGGGGCGCTGGTGAGTGGCCTGAACTAGACAGCTGCCACTCTGCGTGAGTGGGTTAGCGAAAGCTGCTGCGCTAGGTGGAAGGCGCAGAGCCACTGCCTGAGGCGAACGTCATGGCCACCTCCACTTGGAGTTCAAGCGACCCGCGTGCTCACAGACCCAAGCACGCGTTGCTTAAGGGGAAGCGCCGCTGCCCAGTCAGGCCCGCCACCCGCACCAGTCACGAACCAGCGTAAGGGCAAGACAGCGTGACATCCTCAAACGGCAGCCGCGCAGAGGCCAGTGGGCCTCTCACAGGTGGTGCGCCGTGTCGCGCTTGATACATCGCAGTAAGCCTTCCGAGCCCACCTTCTAGCGAACTTCTGCGAAAAGAGCCGCGAGCTGGTTCCTGCAGTGCTTCTCTTTGACTTGCTTCTGAGGATTTGGGCGGCATAGCTTCGCTAGTACTGCCCAGAGCGCAAGAGGCTCTTGGCTGCAAGTGGCAGCAGAAGGGTATGAATCGGGGTATGAATCGGGTATGAATCGGGGGTATGAATCGGGGACAGATTTTTTCGACCGGACAGACGCCAAGAGCACCCTAGGAGCACAAAGACAGCTTGTGTTTCACTGCGACAGTGGCCCAGGACAGACAGCTGTTTCCACCGCGTCGGACAGACTGCAGGAAGCAAGCTCCAAGTTTCAAGCTCAGCAGCGGCACCCCCCCCACAGCGCCCTGCAAGTCCCAGCGTCTTACGTCAAGCTGCACCCCCCCGCCACAGCACCACGGATGCTACAGACAACTCTAGTACCAGGACATTCGCAGGATTTCTCCATCCCTCCATCCATTGGCACTTTCCATAGCAAGCCGAGACAGGTGGGTAACCGAGTGTCAAGGAACACGACTTGAGCCAAAATGGCCCCCCACGAGTAACCAGTGAGTGTGTGAGTGGACATGTCAACTGTACTTGGCCCCATGACATCAGAGCCCAACCATGCAAGCATCGCAGACTCAAGAATAGATCCAGGAACCACAAGTGAACCAGGTATTACCTCGGAGTCCCTACCCCCTGGCATCGGTCCACATGTCAAGCTCTCTAACACTGTTTCTTGACAAGACCCCCTTCTTCACTTGAAGTTAAACCCCCTATAGCTTCCAGCTATCCATGGATCACATGCAAATGCCACAGTTCTTGCAAGTTCTTTTTTTTGTGTTTTTTAAGGGGTATGACTCGGGGTATGGCTCGGGGGTATGGTTCGGGGTATGATTCGGGGGTATGGCTCGCCCAAGCCCCACCTCCCACGAAGACTAAAGAACTGACACGGTAAAAAAACACAGACCCATGTACACATTTCATAAAATCAACACGTTTGGCGTACCACGCAGCCTTCAGACTCCGCAAGTCCACAGGAACGTGTACCACAGCTCCAGAGTTCAGATACAGAGTGTCTTGCCGCTTTGCGGACAAAGTGAGACGTCTGCCCTCCCACTCATTAACATGGAACCTCGCAGGGGGGTCCTGGAAGACCATTTTCCTTTTGAAGGGACCCCCGAACGTCAGGTTCCACGTTACCTGGTAAAAGGGTTAGTACAACTCCTACTCAGGCACAGCGAAGCCGCTATGGTCCAATGCCATCGCGGCCATCTGCGCATTGGAGTGCCCTACCCCCTCCACCATCACCAGCTGAAAACCGGAGTCCTGGCATCGGCCTTTTTGTCCAACCCCAAACTGCTCAATCTATTCTGGCTACATGGAAGCTAGCACTAAGCACTAAAAGGCTAAAAAGCTAAGGGGATGGCTGGGAGCCACCAAGTATTGGAGGGGACTTGATCCTCTCAAAAGATGGTGAACACGCGACATTGGAAGCTTGAGTCATGCTGATTGACCATGCCACGCCACCCGTCTTCCAGTCATGCTGTTCCACAGGTTCCCTCTCAAAAGCGAACCTCTGCCCTTCAACGAAGTTGAAGTGACGCAGCATTGATATGGGGGTGTCCCGTTTAGGGAACCCTTCAGGCTGACTCCAGGGTCGACATCACATCGGGTGAAAGCAGATGACCCAATTCGCTTGTGCGTGCAGGGGAAAAGAACACACACAACATGAGCATGGAATCTTCTGTGACCCAACTGTGAAGGCTCGAAATCACCGAAACCCGGGCAAACACTCCTCTCATCCTGCCTCAACACCGAGACTGGCCTCCATCTCCTTGTGCTTCTCCGCAAACATCAGGCCGCGTGCCAAACGGTGCGGGCCTTGCTGGTTCGCCTCCGGCGTCTTCCGCAGATCCGGGTCCTCCGTGTTGGTGTCACTCGTGCCTGACGTGGGGAAACCCCCACGTGGCTGCAAGCTATCCGTTGACAACCATAACGTGTCAGAACCGGGGCTGCCCGTTTTCCATGTCCCGGCTAAAAGTTGGTAAACTTTCGTGGGTTAGATGGAAACCCCCCACTAAACCCTAAAAGCCTCAAAAGCTGAGGGGATGGATGGGAACCACCAAAGTACATGTTGCCGTGTCTGGAAACCATGGTGAACATATGGATCCCCTGCCCACCTAGGAGCAGGACTTTGGGCAAACGCACGAACTCTTCTAAGAGAGCCTTCATGTCTGGCAGTGGGGTACGGTCAAGGCCATAGGGATAGTACATGCTGGTGTCCGGCATAGTGTACCAGCCCGGGTTTGCAATCAGCGCTTTCTCGATGCGGGGATACTCCGGGTGCCCAGCACTCATCATGCCTTCAAAATAGCATAGCCGATGGGAAAACTGACCCCCTGCTGAGTGGCCATAGATCACGTACGTCTTCGCCTCAGGGACATGAGGTAACATCCCGAACTCAACTTAAACACCCCTCCAGTTGAAAGAACTGTATTTACCCTCCCCCAAACTGACATGGAAGCTCTCAAGACTCCTTTGGAAGACTTGGCTCCACAAGGTCTTCTGGGAGCTTCCGGCTGTTAGTCTGAGGGAACCTACTTCACGCTGAGCCGCTGTTAATTGGAATTCTTGTCGACCCCAGCCTCTGGAACGCACTCCTTGACCATGTTTGGGATCACTGAGAAGGTCCACTTCGAGTCATCGAGTACAAATCCTCCTTCCCTGCGTCGGTACACGTTCCCAGACTGGAAGTCTTCATTGCCGGGGAACATCTCCTGCCACTCCCCGCAATTGCACAATGATTGCAGCAACGACAATGACAACAGCATCAAGCACTTAAATCCACCAGGAACACAAGTGTATATTTCTGGAGCAGCCGACCTGCGAAAGCCGATTAGAGTTGGGGCGTTCCACTGATCGGATGGTTCAAATAACTCTGGCACCATCAAATGGGGATCTCTAGCCTTCAACAGGTTGGGATATGTGGCAGCCCCCATGAAGAATCAAAAAGTACCTCAGAAGAAGCTGACTGGACGTATCACTTGATTAGCTACTGAATAGTTGGGTCGAACCCCCCGCCCGCCCTTGTACTGCGCCGGCGCCTTGTCAAAAAGGGGTGAGATAATCATTACCGAGCTCTTGACCATCTTGGACTTGATCACGTTCCGCAAGGTGTTGTGATTCCCCACCACGTTGCACCCAAAGCCATGCACCACCACGAAAACCGCGGGCACATCGTCCGGGTGCACGCCGGATGCCATGAAGAAGGACTTCAAGTACTTCACCGGACCTCTGTAAAGGCCCTCATAGGCACACTCTTCCGGCCTCCCCGTGAAAACCCCTCGGCCGTAATGATCCGGGTCCTCCTTCTCCAGGCCTCCGTGATTGATGGACGCCTCTGAGTCCGACCCCGCCATGGTGGAAGAAACACTTGAGCCAAGGTCAGCTGCCCGGAAGTAACGCCATGGATAGCTTCTACGAAGGATGAAATAAACATCATACTTTGTCAGGAAAGATCGGCAGAGCTTGTGTGATGCCCACCTCTTGGTTCTGCCATGGTTTGCCAATCCCGTTCACAACTTCGCAAAATTCGTGCCTGTTGCCTACTGCATACACAGTTGCCTGCCAATGCAAGAAATCGGCGCATGGCCGTCCTGCATCTCCAGCAAAGGGACATCGGCATTATGGTACGTGCGCTGTGCATCGATCTACAGTCGATTCAGTCGAGTATCAAATTATAGATACACTTTAACATGGGTCAACAGCCAACATTGCAATCCCAACAAAGTGCCTAAAACAAAACGATAAAGCTTGTTTTCTGGACGGCGGTGGCTACCAGACTGTCGTAAGTGCTCACTTGTTTATGTTCAGGATGTAGGTGTGTATTGTTGGCATGCAGTGGCGCAAGTCTGAAGCACGAAATTGCCGACCTTTCAGCACCAACCAAGCCCGTGTGCCAACAACGAGTTAGAGGAATTGCGATGCTCGCATGGCATGCGTAAGAAACGGGTGCAAAGCGGGCAAGCAAGCAAGCAAGCAAGCAAGCAAGCAGGCAGGCAGGCAGGCAGGCAAGCAGGCAAGCAAAAGTTGAGCAAGCAAAAGTTGAGCAAGCAAGAGTTGAGCAAGCAAGCAAGCAAGCAAGCAAGCAAGCAAGCAAGGCAGGCAGGCAGGCAGGCAAGCAAAAGTTGAGCAAGCAACAGTTGAGCAAGCAAGAGTTGAGCAAGCAAGCAAGCAAGCAAGCAAGCAAGCAAGCAAGCAAGCAAGCAAGCAAGCAAGAACGCAAGGAAGTAAGAAAGCAGGCTTGCAGGCGGGCAAGCAAGCCAGTAAGCAAGACAACAGACCAGCAAACACCAGCCAGCACCAGCCCGAACAGCTCATGCACGCACACCAACTCTCTGCTTCTCCCAGACAGCCTTGGGCAGAATGCAGTGTCACGCCGAGCGGCCGTGGGTGAGGCTGGCAGCCGTGCGAGGTTGGGCACGGACAGCACCATGGCCGAGGCGACTGCGGCTACAAGGTCTGGGCCGACCTTCGGTGGCAAGCGCTGGGGGCATGGATTGCGCGCATAGGCTCTGCACGGCAATGAGAACCTGAAGGTGTCATTTGCAAGACGTGTAGTGATACTGTATTGTGTGTGTATGTGTGTCCAGAAATGATGTAAGGTGCATGGGTGTGGGGTGGGATGCTGCCTGCTGGGGTGGTAGAACCTGGCGCTTCTGTGGCCTCATGCATGCAAAGAATTCCTACACTGCGAACCTCTGGGCTACCACAGTGCGGAACAAAAGGCCGGGGCGCGGAAGGAAGAATCGGCGTTCAAGCTTCTGGGATGTCTCTTGCCATTTCATCAGCTACGGGCCAAAACACGTGGCCGGAATTGGTCATTCTGATCGATGCAGCACAACCCCAGTGGCTATGCGGCCTTGGAAGCTAGTCACGAATATCCGGCCCCCTTCAGCCATTGGCACAGGAGTCACCTTATTGGCGAGCTGAGGGTCATGGCAGATCTGGAGCACCTACTCTAACCCACCATTTGGGTCTCAGGGCACAAAAAGGAAACCTTCAGCATCATGCGTAACTACAAATTCTTATCCGTCTGAATTTACGAATCCACAGGATCTTCATGGGTGGAATCGCTGGTTGTATCCACCCCAAATGGGCCTCGACTGGAGCCCGGGAAGCGCCGGTCACAGGTGCTCCGGGCTCCCTGCCGGTTGTGCAGGAGGGCACCTGCGCCGCCGGGAAATAGTTTCCTTGTACACCATCAAGGCATACCCTCAGAGAAGATGCCCCCAAAAGGGGTGAGATGGCTGTGAATCTTCAGCGGGGACCCTTTGGTGGAAATCATTTGCATGGGGGTTTATGCCCACCATTGTCCACCAGCCACTTTTGAGGGCATTCCCTATTTAACTATTTGAATTCAGGGTACAAAGTTCCACATGGGCCATCATAGTCGTGGTTCCTCCACAGGAATCCTTGCAGTTATCCGAAATTTGTGTGGGTCCATGACCAGCTCGAACCCCAGGCAACCCGGTAATTTATGTAAACTGGCTATCGTTCAAGCGTTTACCGCTGCCACGTGAGAGATACGAGGGGATCACGCAGCCGCTCCAAAAAAAAGCGGACCGTCAGACTCCAACAGCACAAAGCTGAGCATTGATGGTGGGAAGACCCACCCAGTACCATTGAAGTGAAGAAAGAAACTCTCTGCTCTCACCTGCAAATTTCCCAAAGTCAATAAACACCTCCCTGTCTCTCTCTCTCTCTCTATCACACGCACAAAGAGGCTCCCATGTGTGACTTGCTTGATGTCCAAGGTGTGGCCACTGTAAGGGCAGTTGGAACAATACGCTGTGCTTGCATTGTCAAACGGCAACTTGTAAGCAGTGGGTGATCAAGTGCACATGGAAGAATGCAAGCTGCCAACCGCAACTTGCAAAAAGTCAAGTTGTCACGCGGCATGCTGTCCAATGCGCAAACAAAACACACCGTGACCGGATGCCACAACGACCATTCGGGTCATCCAGGTCTTGATAAGAAATGGGTCGAGACTTAATTTGGGATTTTAGCCACAAAAGCCACAAAGCCACCCACCCTGAAAACAAAAAAAAACTTTAAACAAAACACTAAAAAATACAAAATAAAAAAAATGGCCCTCCATAAGAAATTACCCAGATTTGGGGTGAAGGACTTGATTCACCTGTAGGGACGCCAACACTCGTTAGCTCTCGAAAGCCGCACCGGCAACGCAGTTGGTCAAATGATCGAAGTGTCTGGAGACCTCAGAGGAGCTAGTGATAAGGATCCCGAAACGGTAGTATCTGTCTTCCCTTTGGATGCCTGAGCCGTCTCAAAAGGGAAACCGAGCCTCGAACACAAACGCGCCCCTCTTCGCGCGCTTCGCGCCGTCCTTCTTTCCGCGTTCGCCATCCGCGCCGGGTCGGGTTTTTTAGGGGCGACTCGGTGCGCCCACCAGCGTTCGGAGGTTGCTCCCGCAAGTTGACTACCATGGAACCCAAACCGGGATTTTTACAAAAAACAGATTCCTCTGATGTGGATTTTGGGGTGCCATCTTAACCTGCCGGGGGTTCGCTCATTCATCACCCTAGTCCCCAATTGCTCAGGAACTCCAATGGTAGCAAAGAAAGAACCATGTCTTTTTGGCTGAGTCCAACAAGAAGGGATAAATACCAACAGGTGCCGGCTTTTCGCATAGCTCTCAATAACGGGCACTGCGCGCGCCCCCCCCCCCCTGCCAAGCAAACACAACAGCCTCGGTTTGCTCGAGGGAGTTGGGGAAGCGCGGCGGCTTCTCACACACAGCGGGTCCATCGAAAGCGGTTTGACGCCCCAATTGGCTGAGTTCGCAGACCCATGTGTGGCCAGTCCGGATTTTCCATCCCCATTGGTGCCTGGGACAAAAGAGGGGACAACAGATGTTAGAAAGCTTGGATGGTGCCCGGGGCAAAAGGGGGACAAGCTATGGTCGACAAGTTTGGCTTCCATCCCCGGCGCTTGGGAGACGATCTTGCGGGCCGCAGGCCCCAGCTCACAGGAAGTCATGGCCGCTGGACACCTCCGCCTTGATCGCCAGGCCCCTGATGTGAGGCACCAGGGGCACCCCAAGCACCGGCGCGTCGAAGCACGTGATCGCGAGCTCCTGGAAGGAAGGCGATCAAAAACCCGCGGGGAGTTAGCTGGGCCCCTTACAAGTGACATCTCCAAACAGATACTCCCGTACAAATGGTTGACCTTCTGGGGCGGTTTAAAATAGAGGGAACCCAAGGAAACTTTGGGAGCAAATGCCCAGATTCGCCCTCCAAAGGCAGGCTTTGATTTGATGGGAGTCCATCCGAGTCCACCTGAGTCCACCTTGCAAGTCCACCTTTGATCAATTTGAAGTGAGTCCACCTTGCAAGTCCAAATCGATTGCACCACCTGAGGGCTGGAAAAATCAGGTTGCACCACATGCTCGCCGATCCAATGAAAGGTTGGCCGTTCCGACTTCAAGTGTCAAGCCCGAGCCGCAGGGCAGAATTTGCTTTTTGAGATCACTGGGAACTGCGAAGCTGCTTATCCCCCTAAACAAGCGTAGAGAAATACTTGCACAGGGCCCCTTTTCAAAAGGACAGTTGTGCACTTCCAGGTTTGGGATGCTCAAGAGCTCGAAGTTCCAAACATTGCTCCCCTAGGAGGACATGGGACAATTCTCCTGGAAGGGTTGTGAAAGCCTCTTGTTTTCATACTCGCTATCCTAACCCAAAGCATGAAGCTTCTTGCAAACAACTTCCTCAAAATGACCCAACATGACCCAACTTGGTTTGACTCTTCTGCCTGGAGATGACTTGCACGACATCGGTTGCTTCGGGGGACACCCTCGTCACAAGCCGGGTCGATGGGCTGACGCCTGCCAAGCAAAGGACCGCAGCAGCGCAGCAGGATCTCGGCAAAGGTCGCAGCCTTGGCGCGAAACGCAACAGCGCCCAGCCGTGTGCTGGGGAATTCGTGGTCCATTTCAAGAGCTCAAGAAGAAATGAAGCAAGCACCCAATTATGAACAACAAAACACAGGCCAAACACTCATGAAACAAACCCCAGTAACGGAAAAGCTGTTCGTGCGTCTGGAGGCGCAAACGTGATGCTTAAACTGTCACATGCACCTGGGAGCAACCTGCCAAGCAACCAAAATGAGCAGGCCCGTCCGTGGCTTCAGTCCTTGGGTTTGAACACGGGAAGCCGAGTGTTCCTCTCTGGCGCTTCGCGATGCCAGGTTTAAGTAGCCAGCTATGGGGACATGGGTCACAAAGCAACGTGAGGACTGGCCGGTGGAACATCGAAATTGCCCAAAGCAAAGCTGGGTCCAATGGCTTTTGGAAAGGCGGACCGGGGGGGAGGGTCGAAAACTACCCTCCTGAAAAGGCCCCTGCGCTACCATGATCCGCTCCATGATTGGAAAACGAGATGGGCTGTACTCTTGGCATTCCCGGGAAACCGCGCCGTGCGCACTGCTCAGCCCAGGCACCGCACAGCGTCCATTGCAGTGGCCGCAGCAAGCGAAAGCCCAGGGAGGAGCACATATGCTCCACGAAGAGCAAACCGCCCCCTGAAAGCGGACACCGATGGCTCGTAATGTTGACCCCGGATTAATAAACCCCTGTCTATTAATATGGGGGTGTTCCCCTCCAAGAGTGATAAATCCCCACTAAAACCAGGGACACCTCCATACTAATAGAGAGCGGGCCGCCATGGGGCCTGTGTTTTTGCAATCAGCCTTTTTTTACGCCTTGGCATGGATGGATGCACTTTTTACTCGCACGTGCTTTGTTTGAGGCCATCCACTGCAGTATTCTCCAAGGATTCCTGCTGTAATGCCTGCAAGTATTCCCTCGGTATTCCCCTAGTATTGTCCAAGTATTCCCCTAATATTGCCCTAATATTCCTTTAGCATTTTCTTGGTATATCCCTAGTATTCGCTCAGTACTCAGTACTCTTCTAATATTCCCGCAATATTATCCAAGAACTTCCTTGGCGATTCCCTAGCATTTTCCCAGTATTCAGTATCCTGTATTCCCCTATTATTCATGTAGTGTTCTCTTAGCATACCCTCTAGTATTTCCTCAGTGCTCCCTCAGTATCTCCTTAATATTCCCTGAGTATTTTTCTCAGCATTCCCTTTGTGTTCTCAAGTATCCCTAAATTTGCCCAGTGTTCCTTTAGGAATCTGTGGGCATACCAAGGGAATACCAGGTGCATACCGAGGGGCGAACAGGAAACTACTTGGGGAAAAATGGGAGGATACTTTGAGAATGCTTGGGATAGGATAATACTCAGAAAAGACTAGGGGTCTTGGTGTACCCTCTAGTTTCCCTCAATGTTCCCCTTGCATTCCCAAGTAGCCCCCAGCATTCCCTTAGATGTTCCTAGTATTTACCCATAGTGCTTCCCTAGTATTGGCCTAGCATTCCCCTTCATATATATCCCTATTCCTTCAGCATTCTCCCACCCCCAGTAATTGTATTGTCCTAGCATCCTTAAACATTGACCCAGTATTCCTTAGTATATTCTCGGTATACCCCATTTTCCCAGCATTCCCCTATATAGTACTCTCCTAGTATTCTCCTAGTCTTCACTTTGTACTCCTTCCTGGTATTCCCCAATTTTTCCTGGTTGTGTTCCTTTTATTCATTTATAAATCTTAGCATTCCGTTGGTATTCCCTCGCTATTCCGTGTGAATTCCTCTATTATTCCTTTAAAACTGCCCCTAGCATTCCCCTATTCCCTTCATATTCTCTACCCCTAGTGTTCCTCAGCACCCCCCCCGTATTCCCCAAGTTTATCCCTCAGTATTTCCATATTCCTTCAGCATTTGTTTACCCCTAGTATTTGCATTCTGTGAGAATTCCCCTGGTACTGCCCTAGTATTCCTTGTAGTATTTCTTGGTATACCCCTAGTAGTCTCCCAGTATTCTCCCAGCACTTCCCTTTGCATTCGCCCCTGGAATTCCCCATTTCCTCCGAGTAAAGAGGGACGACTGAGACCAAGTCCGGGCTTGCTAGCGCAAATGCAGGGATGCCAAAGCCCCGGGGGGCGTGGGGGGGAAAACATCCTGAGGGGGAAATGAAAGGAGATGACTTGCCTGAGCTTTTGTCTGCCAGATTGTTCTTTTTTTGGCGGGGTTTTATTGTTTTTCTGGGGCTTCCTCGAAGAAAACCAAAAAAAACCAAAGAACTACAATCCTGCGGGGGAAATGCAAGGAGATGACTTGCCTGAGCTTTGTCTGACAGATTGTTGCTTTTTGTGTTTTCATATTTTTACGGCTGATTGCAAAAACGCAGGCCCCATGGCGGCCTCTTCTGTATTAATAAACAGGGGTTCTTAATCCAGGGTCAACATTATGATCCGTGAAAAGGAGGAGGAACTTACGCCTCAAGCCGTGTGAGCTTGCTTTGAGGGCTGCCTTTCACCTGCCAGCACACCGTGGTCAACATGTTTCAACCGCTGGCTTCGTGCATAGCGCATCTAAGGTATCGCTCCATTCTAATCGTTTTCAACCTGTGTCGGCCAGGAGTTTCATGCTCAAGCAGAGAAGTGCCCTCAATTACGCGGACCAGCATGAACCAACTTGTGCGCGAGCGGCTGAGTTGTGCTTGAATTGGATTGGCGATGTGACTTGGGCTTTAGACTGCCAAACCCAAACACGATCTATAAACCCTTCAGCTCGATATTGTGCAGGATGTCTCCAACCACTTCAAGGACCAACTTTACAGTAACTTTACAGATCCTTGACTTGCCAGCCGTGCCTTTTCACATGAGTCTGTCTTCAAATGTTCAAATGGCCTCCCCCATGGCTGTCTTCAAATTCCCCCTCCCCACCACCAAAATAAAAAGGAAACGGGAACTTAACTTGTTGTTCCTTTGGCTTCCCTGGGTACAACCCAGAAACAAAAAAAATAAATAAAAAAGTCCAAATACAAGCGCCTCACGAAGTGCACCCTTTCGTCGAACCGCTCCGACACTCGCTTTTCCCAACTCCAAGCTGAATTTTGGTGCCGAACCTTGGAACCCAATTCCCTTGAGTGTTTACCTCACCTTCCTTCTTTCGGAGTCGCAAGAAACAATCCAAAGGGTCCCCAAGAGCCAAGACCCCCCACCCCCCCAACTCGGATCCACGGCCCTCCGTCCCCCTCCGTCCCCCGCGTGGATCGATCGATCGCAGGGGCCTGGCTTCAGGGCGCCGCGCAGCTCCGCGAGCAGCTGCTGCGGAGCGTCTGCGGAGCAGAGCACCTGCTGCAGCACCGCCAGGTCGAAGCTCCCCTGCGCCAGGGTGCTGGGGGAACCCCGGGGCCCCGGGGAGTGGGGGAACCCGCAAAAAAAAACTGCACCGAAAACTGGAGCCGTTCGGCAAATCACCCCACCAGAAAAAGCGCACAAAGTGGTGCACTCCCCCAAAAAAAGACAGTGCCCAGAGCCAGAAGCCCCTGCAACCCTCCTTTTCATCCCCGAAAGCTACAAATCTATCTGGGAAGAGACCCCATACCTTGGGAAAAAGAGTAAAAAACAAACAACAAACAGGCCTTAGTCTATTGGGATTGGAGAGCGGACTCCCAACGCATCATTACCAGGAAACTCACAAAGCAGCAACCAAAAAAATCGACATGTTTGAAGTCCTGTCATGCCATCGCGTGATTAAGTCTTCCTTTAGGCTACGCCTATGGAAATTGTCGGGCAAAGGGGAAGCCACTCATGGAACTCTCCAAGAGACAAACGCCCGATTTTGCACCCAGCGGCAGCAGAAAGCTCCGCAGCATCCTTCACCACCACTCCAGAGCACCACAGCAAGCGCTCCTGCAGAGCTGGCCACGCCAGCCTCGGCCATCCAAGTGCCAGCCCTTACAGGGATCCGTCCTTCAGGGTGCATCAGCTGCTTGTCGGGAAAAGGGGGAGGTTGCAACCCAAATCCATCATCGGGGGTGGAGATTCAAAAGAGCGGCTCTTTCAAACATCCTCGATGTAGGGATGCTCTAAGACAAGTGGTTGAAATCACACGAACACTTCGAGCCCATGACTGCTTCGAAAGGGAAGCCCCGGGCAAGCGCGTCCGGAGTTATTCTAGCATCTCAGGGAGTTTGCATGTGGGAGATGCATGCCTGCGAATGATGCGCACCTGGCATGAGCCCTGACATTCCCATGACATGTCAAAAGCGAACAAGGCCACATACGTGATTTCGAAAAATGGTACCGCTTTGGCGGCCGCTGAACAAAAAAACCGGGTAAATCGCTGAACCTCCCATAGCTGGAGCTTGAAAACCAACCATGTGCTTGCTTGCTCGATGGAAATTCGAAATATTGCTACACACCTCTGCACGTATCCAAGGGAAAAGGGTGAGTTCAGCTGGATAGCAAGAATGTTCCTGGCTTCTGTGAGGCAGCAATTGCTTTCTTGCCAGCCCCTACTCGAGATATGAGGGCTTCTGAGATGGCATCAACTTCCCCAAACATATCTTCAAGTCAAACCTCCCGAATGAGTTCAGGCCGTTGGAAACAACCAACCAACCAACCAACCAACCAACCAACCAACCAACCAACCAACCAACCAACCAACCAACCAACCAACCAACCAACCAACCAACCAACCAACACGCAACCAAGGGAACCCCCGCTATTTCGCCATGCGGCTCATTGGGCTCAACGGCCACGACCTGGCGGCCGCATGAAAACCCCTGGCCCCTCACAACGCTGACCCCATATTCCTGCACCCCAGTTCAGTCGAGAAGTGTCCAAGTGGGTTTAGTGGTTAGAATCAAACCACTTTTGGAGGGGAACACGCTATTCACACACAGGGGTTGATTAATGTGGGGTCGACATCAGTGTGAACGCTGGCAGTCAACCTTGCTGGAGACCCTGATTGCGAGGCTGAACATCTGGACCTCCCTCAAAGCTAGCATTCCGGGCCAGCCGGAATGCTGGCTTAAGCGAATCTCGAGGTCGGCCCGTATGGACGTGTATAGAGGCACGAGCAGAATCTCCAGGATCATAGTAATATGGTGTATGTTACGGAATTTATATACAGGATTCATAGACATATTTATGCGTATATACATGTGTATGCATATACAAATAGATACATATATATATATATAAATATAATATACATATATATATATAATATGTAACATGTGTACATTCTGTCCTATATCTCACATATATGATAATACATACATATATACATGTTCAACATGCGTGTATGATGTAAAATGTCACCCAGAAATGCAAGGTGATGTGCTCACCTTTTGGGGCCAAACTTGGAAAACCAAAAGGTGAAAAGGTCGACTCGCTGTGGGCAACTGAGTCCTCCATTCTGCTTAAGTCCCCAGATAGGAAAATAACATATATATTTTTCCCAGTAGTGATAGATTCCCTGATTAAAATCAACAGGGGGAAAATAACAATAAACGTAACATAATAGATTCCCTTTCAATCCAACACGGGAGAATACTAATAATAACATTATATATATATATGTATCCAACATGGAAGGTGAGGGTTTCTTCAATTATCGCCTGGCACCACATCCCTCAACCGCCTGCAGTGGCAGGCCCAGCTGGCCGAAGCTCTGCCGGATGTAGAGGAGATCTCTGCCTAGGGCATGGGGTAATCTGAGGCTTTGAGGGTCTGAGGCTTTGATGCTTTGAGGGTCTGAGGCTTTGAGGGACCATGTTCCCTGGTGAACATGTGTTCCCTGCGCCCTGCGGCCTGGAACATTCCGCCTGCTGGGGGCCGGGGGGGGGGGGGAGAGGGCGGCAGCCCCGCATTCTAGCCGTGCAGTTCGCAGTCTTGTGCTGGTTTGCGCGCATGCCCAATCATGACTTCTGAGTCAGGTCTTTGTTTGTCATTAAGATGTCACCAAACTTTGACCCATGGTCAACACTTGGCAGTTAACCCACTATTGGGGCGGATGCCTGGGCCTTCCGGTTGGGGGGGTTAAACCACAGATGTTGAAGCAACCTCCTTCTGGTGTTCCTTAAGAAAAGGGAGCAGGGGGTGGTTGTGTAGACAAATGTTGCCAAACCCATCCAAACCCTGGTGGGACAAATCCCACGGTTCAGTGGGATTGCCATCCCCTGGCTACTGCACAACTTTCAAGGGGATTCCCAAGGTATTGCTGAAGGTTGCGCAGAAAAACATGTTTCCACAAGCATGGGCTCAAGTAAGATTTTTGAGTTCCACTTCTCACACAGGGCCTGTCACGAGCAGGTTGGAGGTAACAACGATCCAGGGTAACAGGATTCCGGGCTGTCCATCGAAGAGAAAGGGGGGGGTGCTACTTAAGGCTGATCATCTTCTCAAACAGTCAGCATCTGAATCAAACAAACAAAAAAACCAAACACACCTGCCACTGAACCGGACGTTTTACATCATTCCGGTCAGCATCTTGATGAATCCCAACGTGAAGGCCCCATCCGCATAGAATGTGCCCTTGTATACGATTTGAAAGCCATTCGTAGACACAGCAACATACATTTATCCCACGTGAAAGGCCGGGGCGCCTACACCGGCCCCAACATCCGCGATGGCAAGATGGTCCCTGCCATGCACACGCGGTCCGTCTTGCACAAGACAGGGGCCAAACATTTAATGGTAGCATAAGGGTGTACTGCTCGCAAGGTCATTCACGGCAGCAGCCGCTCCCTCGGTCAACCACAATCTGCCCCAAACAACAAACCGCCCACGACACACTTGCTGCTGCAAAACAGTGAGTGCACCTGCCAGGAATCCACCCGATTCCGCACAAGCCGAAGAAACCTAACTGCCTCATCACGGATGACGTAGCCCAAAACAATCAAATTGTGAGCCTGGGTCCAAAAGGAGCGGTCACACTGAAGAACCATCCACTACCAGCACATCCAGCTATCAGTTGAGACGCTCAGCACATGATGGAGATCGTGTGCACACCTAGAGCTTCAGCCAGCTTTAACCATGAGAGGCCCCCCCAGCCATATCGTTCGCCTGCCCAGGGCCAAGGCCCAGCTTGCTGCTTCTCCTTGGCACTGTGAAAACGCGCGCCGGCCGCAAAATTCTAGTGAGTCCCCCCAAACTCAGCCAGAATCCGTTCAATATGTATGGCTCTAACCTACTCCTCCGAGTGGGCTTCCAAGCAAACCTGGATCAGCAATCGCTTCTGGCTTGCCACACGGCTTAACTCTTGAGTGCTCTGAGTAGGCCGGCCGCAAATCGGCACGAAGAAAATCCAAGGCGTCAAAGTGCGTTGTTTCTCTGCGTTTCTGCGGTTGTGTCTGTGAGAAATTATGAACCTGACCTGCACATACCTGTGCCATACACCCTCAATGATCATGCCTCAATGATTGCTGACTAGCTGGTAGCAACATTCATGCTGGATCATACACTTCTCTCCCGAGCCTATACGGGCCCAACTGCATGCCAATGCTGCTCCCAGCACAGCCAACCTCTAAACGCTACGTGCAAATGGATCATGACTAAAAAAAGGGAACAGGGACAGGCCTTTCAATGTCTGTGGCATTTTCCCTCCAACAGGGACATTCAGTTCCTGGACAATGAGAAAACTTGCTTTACACCGCTGCGAAGTTACTATGAGCTCGTGAACTTGTCGGTGCCTCCCTTGCGCCGCGCAACGGTAGGCTGACAAGATCTCAGGGTTCAGATCTTCACCTGGCACGGTTTGCCCGCTCTTCAGACTTTCAGCTTGGGTCCCGGTCCTATCGGCCAACAAGCCATGGGCCATCCGCCAGTTGCAACCAGCAAGCCAAGCAGAGCCAGCCGCTGAAGGTGGGAGATTTGCGCACCTCCCTCCACAACGAAGCTGAGCACGCCACTGCCCGATGCTGTGGACAAGACATAGCTTTGCCACTTTGCGACATACAGGAACAATGGAGACATGAACCCTGCCAAGTGGAAGCATGGGCCAAAACCTGCGTAACCCCCCACTGGTTTCCCTACGCCTCGTAACAGAACGTACATTGCGATGTCTCGATCGATCCGCCTTCCAGGCTCCAGCTCTCGACCGCCGCCAGCGCCCGGCGGTACATGCGCCATGGATCCGCCGACCAAGCGCTGGCTGCGACCGCTGGAGCCGAGCTGCGGAGATTTGAGCGAGTGCCGCAGCTTTCTGTCAGTTTCTAGGATGAGTGTAGATATTGGGAAAGTGGAATGGTGAATCTGAATAGCTTGCTTTGCACCTGAGGAGAGAAAAGCTTACTGTCAACCTCAGATCGCGAAACAAAGAAGATGAGTTGGATCATTTTGCATGCGAGAAAAGAAAAGAAAAAAAACCAAAGTCTCCACCACCCTCCCTCCCCAACCGGAGGAAAGCCGCGCCTGCCGCCACGTTGGCGCAAGGCCGCAGCCAAGGAGTCCCTGGCCCAACTCAAGCGGGGCAACGCGCGTGCGATGCCAACTGGTCAGTCAGCCGAACTTCCAACAGTTCAGATGCCGTCCGACCTTGGTTGACGTTGGACGGGGAGCAAACAAATATGTTGTAGCGGTTAAGTGGATTTGCATTTCAACCACTAAACCACAATAAAGCAAAAATGTAAAATGTTTCCCAACAACAACCATGCAACATGGAAGCAACGTGAACCTCTAATTGTCTTTAGGGATCGTTGTTTTGGGGTGGGACCTGTACGTTTCACAATGGAACGTGACCGCAGGCAGGGATCCTCAGCCTAAGAAGTTTTATGTGGGTAAGTACTGAGCTCGCTTGACTTGACACTGGAAGTGCATCTGTGTTGACACTGATTACCCATTGATTGAGCAACAATTCTTGGATCATTTTGTTGGCAGGGGGGAGGGGGGCAGCCGGACCACAGAGGGGAAACACAAACCCACACACACAGACACACAGACACACACACACACACATGCACAAGCAACACACACACACAGACACAAACAACCGCACACACACACACACACAAACACACTTCAATTAACTTCAACGCATCAGCGGCACCAACATGTCAAACCAGGAGGACCCCCCCCCCCCAACAACAACAAATTGGGTTCCTTGTTGCCCACGTTGCCTACATTCCCCGTTTGGGACGTCCAGGGACGACTCCAGCCTAGAGGACCTGGCACTGCTCGGCGTCCGGGGACTGGCGGGCGGATTTGGCGGTCCTTCCTCGTTACACACACCGCGTGTTTCTGCTAGGGGAAACCACGAAATACCAAAAGGGAACAGGAGACTCGACTGACTGTTTCGGATGTTTCTTGACCACAAAAGCGAGATTTGTCACCGTATATCATATGTGCGTAGCACTGTAAAAGAATTCAATCTTGGTGGCCAATGCATTTTGGTGGAAGAGCTGGTCCTTTTTGCCACTACTGTGATCTCGCCAAAATTAAGAAGTCCAGAAACGCGGAAGACAAATAATTGGACTGCTCACCTACGACAATGATAATGATAGCATGCTGGGGCCAGCCCTTACCAGATCTGACTTCGACGATTGTATGACCTGGATCAGTGTGCACTGGTTCATTTCACGTACTGTGTGGAATGCTAGCACTGCGCAGCGCAAACTGCAAGCTCCCCTTCCGTTGCCTCTTTGTGCTGCAGAGTTGGAAAGCGATTGTTCAAATTTGAGTTGAGGCCCACAAAGCAGTAACAAATTGCAATTTCCAAATCAAGTGATGCCAACATCTCCTTCCCCACTAGAGTTGGTAAAAAGTGGACAGTCACTTGATGGTCATGCTCGGAAGGAGCTCGGAGCAAAAGGCACTATTACCCAAGTCCGTTCAACTTGTCACCTTTTGGTAAGTGCGGTTCCAGGGCAAACGAACACTGTTCTTGAGAGGACTGTCTAAAACAACAAACTCATAAGCCAAAAAAAAAAAAACTGACAACATGGTGGATCCTCTTTTGGAATCTGCAGGAGACTCCAAAGGATAGCCCCATCTTGCATTGTGGTCTGATCACGGGCGGGCTGAAGGGAATTGACAGTCCAAAGGCACTGCCCGGCAAATCCTGACATTCGGCTTCCAGTGTGGGTGGGGAGGGGGAAAGGAGACAGGTGTCGATTTGGAGAAACCGCTTGCACCTTCCAATTTGCCCAATGACCCAATGGCGCTGGACGAAGACTTCGAACACTTTTTTGGGGGCAAGGGCCATTTGTGGGTGAAAACCCAAAGTTCTAAATTCCGGACCCCGGAAAACGGGTGGGGCTTCCTTTTGGTTTGCCTTTCAAACCAATTAACCACGGGTTCCCCCCCCAAAAAAAAAGAACACACAAAAACACGCAAAACACGCAAAACACGCAAGACACACAAAACACACAAAACACACATACACACACATACAAACACAACCACAACCACAACCACAACCACAACCACAACCACAAACACAAACACAAACACAAACACAAACACAAAACACAAACACAAACACAAACACAAACACAAACACAAACACAAACACAAACACAAACACAAACACACACACACACACGAAGCCATCTGGTGGCTTAGATCTGAACGGGGGCAACCAGTCCCCCCCGTGGCCAGTGCCAGCCTTTCGGAGAGACGCGGGAAGCTGGAGAGTCCGGGCTGGGCCTAGAGGGCAGGACTCGAGGCTAGGCGCCTCCCACCGATGGCGCTGTGGCTTCCATGTTCAGCCTGCAGAATCGTATGAAGACTCTCCCCCCGCCCCAAAAAAAGAAGAAGGAGAAAGCCACGATCCCCCCCCAAAAAAATAAGCATGAAGCCGCTGCTACAATCTACTCTCACCTAAGATGGGGAGACAAAGCACGAAACCATTGACTTCTGACATGGAACCACCACATTCTCCACTCCGGTATCCTGTGCTGAGCTGTCCTTTTCTCTTGGGAGTTTCAGGTTCTGGGGAGTGCTTCAATTGATTCGAACTCCTACACTTTAGGATCCGATTTGGATGGTGCCGAAAGGGAAGCCAAAGGAAACCCACCCATCTTTCGTGGTCTCCTATTTGATGGAAGCACTTCATCGAAAAATGACTTCGGAGTCAAATGCCCCGCTATTTTTCCACAAACACCCGAGGGGGGCCATTTGGAAACCGATGAGTACTCCCCGACCTCTGCACAACTGATAGGGGTCATGAACCTAATCACCCATACCGAAACCATCCAAAGCGTTTGCCCTCAGATGCACAAAGAGATTCCACACATTTAGACTGGTTCCCAAGTAGGGGTGGGGAGAAACGAGCGTTCTCAAGACAAACGGGTGGAAGAGGAGCTAGATCCACTAGAAGAGAAGGGGACTGCTTTTTCAGCTTGGTCGCGCAAAACAACACTGATTGCCAAAGTGAAAGCTGAGTTGTGTGGTACGCGCAAGTCGCGTCATCAGGAAGCCAAACCTGGTGGAGCTCATGCAGGTTTTCTCTTCCCCGTATGTGCGAACCACGTTTGTCTCTATGCTTGTGATCTTTCTTCTTCCCCTGATATCATCCAAACAGAGTCATGGGCCGAAACCGAAACATCCTTGCGCCGCTTTCCGGAGCAAATCAAGCGTTCAGATTCGAAACCGCCGTTTGCACGCGTGTGCTCACATAGCCCTCTGAGCATCGTCCACGCTCTCTCCCAGCAATCGCTTGCAAGAATGCATGCTCCAGACTCATGAGATCTCAAAAGCATGATAGTTCTACGACGGTCATGAGAAAAGCACTATGGAAGCTCCAAAGTTTGGAAAATGCCCTTTGCGCATCCATGTTTGTGAAAGGCTACTTGCAGAACCTCCCTCCCTACTCCCCCGCCCAGCACCTTCATGCCGGCGCTCCAAACCCACCTGCGCGGCTACGAGGCACCAGCCCGGCGTTTGCTTCTAAAATGGCTAAGGTTGGCACAGGCCGCGGGCCTGGTAGTCCCACGTTGCCTGACTACAGTCAGGTTTGCAGAGGACAGAACACTAAATGGGTCAACAAAAGGGGATCCTGATTGTCCTAATCCGCAACCCGTGACACCACTACAAGGAAAGCCACCACCGTCTGACAAAAGGATTCAGGATTAAATTCGGAACTACTCAGTAAGACTCATCCCCCCTCCTCCCGCCCCCGTGCCCAAAAAGCGAGGAAAATTTCGAGGTACACCAACCTGTCCCAACCCACCGCTACCCACACGTCACACCACCCCACTCCGCCTGCTGTTCGGCAAGGGGTCCGGCGCGAAGGCGCCCCCCTGGCCCTGCTGCGCGCGCTGCTGCCGCTCCAAGAGCCGCGAGAAGTGCTCGGAGCCTCGGAAAGGAAGACCCAAGCTGGAAGGGGCGGCTCGCCCATCTAGGTGTCCCAATAGTGCCCTTTTTTCGAGGTTTTTGGGGGGGAGGGTTTTCGTCTACTAAGATAGACCACAGAAAAAAGGGTCCCAATCCAAGCACTGAAATAGGTTCTGAAATGGGTGGTGAATTCACCTACCCCAAAATGGGATCCCATTGGCTTTGACACAATCACCAACCCCAGTTTACCAATTGGGGGCTGTTCCCCACCCAAGGGCACCCCCCTATTGACAAACAGGTGTTGATTAGCATGGGGTCAACATTATTCCTTTGTGAGTTACGGTGGCGAAGCATGAGGGCATGTAGAGATCAATCAACGCAAAGCAGTGCCCCTACTTGGATGTTCGGCCAGGTTAGTACGTGGTTAGCCATTTGCGTTACAACCCGTTAACCCAACTAAGTTGGACTTGTACGTGGGTTATAACCTAGGTTCCCAACAACTTACTAACTTGGCCGAACACCCACGTACCAACCATGGGGCATCCA